TAAGACTCACAAGTTCTCCTCCTCCCCGGCCCATAACGCTAAATCAATGGGAGCCCTGTTTCTCTGCAAAAAGACGGTCCCATCTGGGGGTAACAGGAGACAATGACACCCGAAGTGTGTTGCTTATGTTCAGTCTACTCCGTTGTTTTGTTTTGGTTGCTGTCACTGCAGAAAAACCCGCTTCACACAGATAGGATGTCGGAAATGGCAACAGGGTTTTCAGTGCTGTGGTGGCGATCTCAGGGTATTCAGTCATGACTTTAATCCAGAACACCGGCAGAGTTGTTGTCTCGAACATACTTTTAAGGCCGCCGTCATTTGCGATCTCCAGCAGTTGATCTTCTTCTTGCACAGACATGCTGGATTCACCTGGTTTGTTGACAGATGGGTTGCGGATCCATTCCTTGGCAGTTCGTGGGTCCTTTGTGGTTGGGAAGTAGCGCTCGAACTCTTTTAAAAGCAAAGACAGGTGATCGTGCACCAGCTGGGAGAATGAAGGCTCAGGCTCAGTCTCACCCAAAATCCCCGCTAATGTTTGAAACATGTCCAAAATGCCTCTGTGGACGCGCCGTCCCCACAAATCCAGTTTGGCTTTAAATGCAACTACTTTATCTGCCAACTTGAAGACAGTTGTCATTTTCCCCTGAAGTGACAGATTAAGTTCATTGAGCAGGCTGAATATGTCCACAAGTAAGCCAGTTTTGGCGCTCAAGTGACCGAGATGTAACCGAGAGAATACGGTCATTTTTCAAAATAAAAGATCGTTCAGACTCAGATAATAAATAAAACGGAAATAATTAATGATTTCTTGTGCGGCCCGGTACCAATTGATCCACGGACCGGCACCGGTCCGCGGCCCGGGGGTTGGGGACCACTGGTCTACAACATGTCTCAAAAGAGCAAAAACACAGATCTCAGCGGCCCATTCTTCAAATTCCTTCCTCAATATACAACTACTTATAGCTGAATGACCATAACCGGGTGTTATAGTCCTGTCACACTGTGGATTTCTCTACATGCTGAAGTAGTGTGCATGACGCTCTACTGAGTGCAGTGCTCTGTATTTAGAAGATTGTGTTATTTTTAAAATTGCCTTTAAACAACCAAAAACACAAAAGCAAATGTATAACACTAATTAAACTACCTGCTCTAATGTAAGCTGTATTCATTACCATATTGGGCCAACTAGCTTCAAGTGTTACCTCCAAAAAAAACACATCAGTAAGTACATTTGTTTAAGTGGTTAAAAGTATTAAAAATACAGCCAATCCTGGATGCTACCCTGGAACATTCCCAGAATAGGGCCCGTAGCTTCATCCTCAGTCTTTTAGCACAGTATCATGTAATATATGTAGCCACCATGCATACTTGTAGCATACTTGTTACAAGTATTGTAAACCCCTTTTAGAGTGTTAAACCTGCCACCACGACCACTGCAAATGGCACACATGCCTGAGAGAACAAAGCTTGACAGGAGTATCAAAAGTAACTAGGATGACAGGGCCTTGCTTGTTTTGACCAGCAGTTCAAGGATACTCAATTTACTGCTTTCAAACAGATGAGAAGTTCAGAGATAGACACACAGAGAGATACAGAGAAGACAATGTATGTGAGATGCAGACGTTGGGGGAGAGTGGGGTATTATAGCCCCATAGTGGGTTGTATTGGATGTGCTCACCATGCTAGCCAGGGGGCAACCATCTGAGCTGCTGTGCTGGCCTGTTGACGTATAAACTCCTCCTGAGGGTTTAGGAAGGGGTGGGCCAATGCCTGAGTTATTTATACCCAAGGAATAGCTCTGTCCTTGCAGTTGGGAGCTCACCATCGTCCCTGGAGGAGCAGGCTGTCTGTCACAGTAGGTGGTGGAAGAAGATGTTGAAGATGATGAAGAAGAGGAAGAGGAAGCAGAAGGGGTTGTAGAGATTGAATGGGTGCTGTTTTGTTCTCCTGCTCCAGTTCGACCCTGGAGGTACGGCATCACACCTGCTGCTGACACCACTACTGTGGCATTATGGGTAGACGCTGGCACCGACTCATGGCCCAACTCTGCAAGAGGAGAACATAGGACAGGGTAAGAAGGTAAAGAAAACATCTGAGAGGGTAAGAGGTCCGGAGAGGAGATAACAAGAAAGAAAAAGTAAGCTGAGGAAACTAGTGCAAAGAAAAAATAAGGAAAGTAAATTATATAAAATGAGAGGAAAGGAAGGAAAGAAAATGGAAGGGGAGGAGAGGTAAAGGTAAGGTGAGAAAAGGAAAGGAAGCTAATGATAGCAAAGGGAGAGAGGAGAGAAATTCACAAGGAAGGAAAAAGTCAAGTAAAGCAAAGATAGGAAATAAAATGAGGGGAACTGAAAGCAAGGTGAGGAGAGATGCTAAATAAACGCATGGCATGGCTTTTACAGATGACCATCAATGTTTCTGTCTCCTCCAGACAGAGACGAATCACTCAGACAGCTGGATACTGAGAGCCCAGCCTAACTGTCTCTGTAGAGCCAGCTGTAATATTTGAGAATGGGTTTCCTGCTCATACATCACTTTTCATTTATGTTTATTTACAGCCCAGCACTTTGCGCCACACTCCCAATATTTCACTCACTCTAGGGTTTAATAAACACAAATATGTACACACATACATATACAAAAGCACATTTAACAATGCACATACGCACTAAAGGTGAACTCAGACACAATCACACTTATTACAGTATAAATACAGTACAGCAGTGACAAATGGCCTCCACAGTACAATAAAAAAATCAGCTCTAACAAGCCTTAAGCTAACAATCCCAGCAGACATATGCATTCATAAAAGCCTCACACTGCACACGTAGACAAAACTGCAAACTCGTATACACAATCACAGAGGGTCACGCACACACAAATGCTTGCATTTGTGCACACAGTGTGTGATATATCATTTCCATGTAAAGGACACAGCTTCTATCCACTGCACATTTGAACTGTAAATGCACTGGAGTTTCCTAGAGATGTGCTGTATAGTAATTCACAGCTGTGTCACATTCGGAAATCTGCAAATGCACAGCCCTGGCACCTGACATTAACATTGTGACTGATGGATATCATTTGAGGCAAGTAAATAGCAAATGTGCTAAACAGAGCAGAGCACGGGCTAATAAAGTGTCAATAAAGTGTCATCTATTTGCAGTAACTAAACCAAATTATCTGACAAATATATAGTACAGAGACTCAGCCCTGCTCACCTGTAGGGGAGTCGCCCAGGAGGCCTTTCCCCAGCGGCATGAGGCCTGGAGGCCGCAAAGGCAACACTTTCTGCATGAGCAGCCTGGATGGGTCACCGAACAGACTGGAGACCTGAGGAGGAGAATGAAGAGAGGAGGGTGAACAACAGAAAGAAGGAAAGAGACACAAGGGGAGTGGGTCAAACAAATTCTGCATCTCTGGATTCTGAAAAGTCAATACCCAGCTTTTAAAACATCCAATACTCCAAACATCAGCCACTGTCACTTTTAACTTTCACTTCAGCAATTAAAGAAATAAACTACAGACATTTTAAAGGAAAATTTACACATTAAAATAGGGAAGGAAAACTACAGCAGCCCAAGGTCTTCCTTTAAACTGAAAGGAAGCATTTAGATGAAATGATGATGTTTAGTTTCAATATGTATTAAGTGGCCAAGATAAAAAGTGCTCAGATGCCTGTGGCCACAACTACATTTAAACCTATGCAAATGATCAGACACACACAAACATACAGGTGCCTTACGCTGTTGATGCGTTTGTCTTTGATATGAAGAAGCTGTTGCTGTGCGAGCTGCATATGCAGGAGGTTCTGGAGGACCAGTCCATTACCGAGAAGAGCACTCTGCAAGGTAAAGGGAAACAGACATTACTGTTACAAACAGATCAGCACCCACACACTAAAAAGTTCCCTGTTATGAAGTTGCAACCTGGTGTGCTTTTCCCAGCGTGAGAAGAGCTGTGGTGAGAGGAGGCCTGAGGAAGGGTAGGCTGGTGTGACGCCCGTACTTCCCTACAAACACAGAGAAAAACAAATAATAATCAATCAGAGCCTGTTTGGGATTTTGTTTTTAAAATTTGGCTTCCAAATTGCATTCATCTATCATCCTCTCAACAGGCAGAATTATTAGTCAGACAAGCAATCCATCAGTCATTTACAGCACATTGCAAGCAATCACACAGCCCTTTTATAACAAGCTAAAGTACAACAATACTGAAATGTTATGTTGGTGCACAGAACATTGCCTGCCTCCAAACTTTGACCAGGTTTACATTTTATTTTAAAGTCTAAGACGGTGAACAGATGCTTGATCCAAAAAAAAAAACCTACACAGAGAAGAAAAGCAGAGAATTTCTGAATTCCAAACGTCCTCAGTCTGTCCTTATTTAGTGTCAGTCCTAGCCAGCTTCCTCAGAAACAAAAGGAACAGGCTCTAGGCTTCTGCATCTCACTGACAGTTTTTCCCAAGTCACAGTGTGTTGATGTACTGATGAGGCAGTTATGACAATCAATGACAGGCAGTTCAGTTGAACTTTATCTCACCACTACTAACACAGTTCTACAGCAGTTTGACACTGTCACATGCAACTTTTCATCAGACCAAGCACATATCGAAAACCATCCATTATCTTCTGCCCTTGTTGAACCACCATCTATAGGGAGGCTGGTTTGATTATCATTTTTATTGTGACTGCTTCTGGGATTAGTTTAGTTACAATTCAGCTTTTCTGTGATCACTATACTGCTAAGAAGCTACTGTAACTGTTGTGCTAGCTGTTGCTAATACAAAATTCGAAGATGCTACCTATTCTAAAGGTGACACAACCAGAGCCTAGATTAGCGGCATAAAATGAATAGGTGGATAACACTGGGCTAATTCAAATAAATAAATGAATAATAAATCAAGTTTTTAATATAATCAAAATGTCCTCATCATGAGATGGTTAGCTTGCAAGCTACACACACACACACGCACACACACAAACACACACACACACACACACACACACACACACACACACACACACACACACACACACACACACCTGTTTATAGGTTTCCAAAATTTAGTTTGCTCATTCACAAACCTGAAGACATGGTCACATGGCGTTTCTCATCCTACACCTACACACAGTACACACACCTTTTCTTTGGCTTTGTGTGCATGTGCGTCTCTTCTCTGAATCCCAAGGCCTCCTCATAATCAATGTAGGCCACCATGTTTCCTCCAGAACAGGTAGACAAAGTTTAACATTTAATCAAGGCTCTAATTTTAGAATTTAATTGTGCATGATCTTCTTTAAAAGAGCTCCCCCCACCTCGCCCATCTTCTCTTCTTCCTGTTCTCATTTGTCTGCTAATGTCACACAATTTCATTTTAATACCTGATTAGCCATTCATCACATAATGAAGCCGCTGACAAGGTGATTACAGTATATAAGAGGGCCTAACAGAGGGACAGACTTGTACAGTGGGTCTCCGATTATCATCCAAGTATTGGAAAGACTGTTCAAATTAACAAGTTCAGAACAGTGATAGGCTTTAAAATTTGAAAGCTTATTCAAAATATGCAGCACATACACTAATCTTTTCTCAAACGGACAAATGATTCATGTTTTTAGCAAGTTAAGAGAATTTAAATAGATCTAAAGTATGTACAGCAGCAAAATAAAACAGCACATTTTAAGTACAGTAAAACAGAAATCCTGTTCTGTTGGCATGCAGCTTAAAGTTTAAATTTGTCATCTTAAATAAAACTTGACAATGTGTTTAATATGATGTTCTATTTTGTCTACACATCTATATCACACTTTTATTTTATATTTGTAGAATCTTCAAATCATTGCGAAATAGAATTTGTCTTGGCAAATACAGCAGCACAATATGAAGCGTGATCTGTAGAGATACCGAGCTCCTCACGCACCTTTTTCACCTGCTATGAGGGAGAAATGAACAGGTAGAGAACAAAATCCATCTTTTAAAAATAAAAAGAACATTTTTGTGAAAGGCCATTCAAACACCATTTGTACAGAAATAACTACCTACTGTACAAAATCAGCAAACATTGTGACACATTAGTTCAGGAGTGAGGCCCGACACTGCCTGTACCATTTTTCTTCCTGTTACCTTCACCATGTTGTCATTTCATTGTCCAGGTGGCCATCTGTTCTTCTCACCACACTTCAAGTGAATGCGGAAAAGCTTTAATTTATGTAAACCCTGAGACCCAATGTCATAACCTGTCTATACGCACATGAGCAGCAAAAGGTGATGGATTGATTAAACAATTAAAACATCAATAATTGATTAGCTAATTTAAGGTTTTTGCTAAAATTGACACCTTTCCATTATGAACCAATGAGCTTTCTACCTATTGTCTCCCAAAGGTCAGAAATTATAACAAATTTTACTATCTACAGCAGGCATGAGAAAATATTCATGATGTTTATTAAAGACTTTTTGCAGTAACTGGATTCAGTGTTTTAGGACATTGAAAACCTGCAAATTCCCTGATTGCAAATTAAGAAAATTAAACTGATGTCTACATATGATTACACCACCTGGGGTTCAATTTTATGGCTTGAAATGTAGTCACATGATTATGCAGCAGCCATACCTCCTCTTTTCCCAGTGTGGTACGGTCTCATGAGTATCTGCAGGGCAGCAGGGTTGGTCATACTGGTCAACAACTGGGCCAGGTTTGGTTCTGGTAGCAGACCTTTCCTATTACTCAGAATCTGGAGAGGAAACAAACACACACATACTAAAGTTTGAGGAAGAAAAGTGGGACTGTGTGTGTGTGCGCGTCAGTATGTGTCTAGAGTGCAGTATGTGTTCTGATCTTGCCAAGGGGAGTCCCAAATAGCAGTGGTAATTATTACACTAGTTTACATCATCACAATATGTCTGCAATGTCAGCAGAGGGGAGCTGATTTAGAAGACAAAATAAAGAAAGAAAGAACAAAGAAAGGGACAAACCAGTTTGAAAAGCAGAAAATGAATGGGAGGGGGAAAGAGCATCGAAAGGAGAGATGAAAATCAAGGTAGAAGAAGAGTTGGTGGGAAAAGGTTTAAACAGAAAACATGACAAAAATGTTGGAGCCACCTTTCAGAGAGACTAATCAATGTGTTGTATGTTGTATTTCACATATTATTTTTGGGGAGCCCCTCCCCCAAACACACTGCAATTAACACAAGAATTTTCTAATCAATGTTACCCGTCAGTGGTCATAATGTTATGGGTGGGTTAACCATTTGACCACCCTAATTTTTATCACATTTGAGGTGTGTAAACATCTTGCTATGTCCTAAGTAAGAAAAAAAAAATGTCTGCACCACTGGTACTACAGTTCAGGAGGTACGCTATGCTTTGAAGTTGCAGGTCCATGTAAACCTGTCAGTCTAGAGAATGTGTCTATTTAGCGCTGTTGTTTCACTCTGCTTGTTTTGTGGTTTTTATTACTTTGTTTTGCATTTTGTCTCACAATACTGTTGTAACTGCCTATTCTATTTCACATTGCACATTCAAGTTGTGTGTTTATTCTGTTCTGTTCTTGACATGAAACACATTTTGAAGCAAACCCTGTGTTTCACCTGTTGCCAGTAAAGCTTTTATTTCATTTGACCTAAGCAGAATTTCCTGGAACTAAACAGATTTCTGTTGACTTGTTTTTAACTGAAAGACATAAAACAAATCACATTTGCAAATCAGAATTCAATCACTCATTACACTGTGGAAACAGACTCAAATGAAATCCCATTAAATTAGACGGTGGCAAATCGAATGGAGCAGCCTTTGCTCTGGCAGATCCTCTTCAGCGCCGACAGTGTGGCAGCAGTACTTGCTGGATGGCCCAAAGACACGGCTATTTAAAACAACATTAGCAAGATGGTGATATTTCCTCCATGCCTGCCCCTGAACTACAGCATCACTTCAGCTCAAGTCAACCTTGTTTCCTCTCTGTCACATCCTGTAGTGAGAGCATTACTGACAGGGACGGAGTGAGTTTGACTCCAGCCTGTCAGCAAGAAAGGAGTCTGGTGCTCATATACAGTGTGTGTATCTGCAGGTTACAGCAGTAAAAGTTGCTATTTGTGTGTGAATGTGTGCTACAGTGTCGAACAAGGCCAGTTGTAGCTGACAGTGTTTTTCAAGGGAAGAGAGAGAGGAGGAGGACAGGAGGAGGAGGAGGAGAGGTCTCTCATTTCTTTTCTTTCGGCTGGAGAAAATGTCAGCATGCATCAGTCTGTTTCGCTACTGGCACAAAATCCATTCACACACCCACACGCACACCAGGGAGGTAAGGAAGCCGCAAAGAAGTGGAAGGCGAGAAGTATCGTGTAAAGAGAAAGATGGAGAGAGAAGAAAGGAGGAGGCAAGAGGAGGCCATCTGGTTCTCAGCGTTCACACTCACATTCACTAACTGGAGAAATGAGAACTGCCTTGGAGGAGAACTGTAGCCAGGAGTAGGTCCTGATCTCTTTCTAAAGATCTGATGTTTCTTTTACCAGCTGCCCACATTCACTGCAATAATCTTAAAGGAGCCCCGGGGTAATAATGGAACCTCACAGTCCACTCTCTCTACCTCTTCCTTCTAATTCCCTTACCTAGCCTCTTTCTCAATCAATCTGCCTTTCTGTACACTGAACTTATAGCTGCATTCCTCCTCTTGTCTGCTTTATCTTCCTCAGCAAATATATTCAGAATGTTAGTAATGGTCACAGAGTCTATTGCAATAAAGAGGATGAAACAACATTCTGCTCTGCTTTTCAGCCTGTAATTTTAAATCCATCCATCTCAAGGCTACAACCTTTTTAAATGGTACCTATATGCAACAGCTGTGAATAAAAATCAGAATGCGGCTTTTATATGCTCTCAATATCAAAAATGGTAGTGCAGCAGTTTTAAATTCAAGAATCTGTAAATGAGAATCCTTACCATGTTAATCTTGTGTAAAGTATCAATTAAAGTATATGGGAAATGTGTAACTTGAGTAAAATGTTTTGGAGTCAAGACCTTTCAAAATTCCAAAATCTGACTTTTGGTTTTAGCGCTCCATAAACTCAATCAGTACAATCTAAAATGTTTATCAATAGATGAGAGTTAAACAGTGAGCTGCAATGGTTTCCTACGGCCGGTGGGCAACTCATAATTAACCATAAACCTGCTATTGAATGTCAAAGATATAAGTGAAGGTTTCCTTGTGACAGAAGCAACACTGTGGTATCGTGTGCCTGTAAGCTGTTCAAGGAGAAATTGTGTGTCTCTTTACTAAGTTTGGGTTGATAAAGTTAACTGTCTCCAGGGAAGATCATGTTAAAACAGAACCTATGAAGCACATGCACTGCACAGTGCTGTTTTGGATAGTCTACAGCAGCCAGTAGTAACATAAAACTGACTCTATGCTCTTGCAACACTTGGATAAAGACTTTAAAGATGAGAACAAAGTAGGTCAATAAAAAAAATGGACACCTCAACAAATAAATGTACAGTATGTATAAATACTGTATGCATAAAATATAGAATGAAATTTATTTTAAAAAATTCCTTATAGCACATTTTAAAAACACTAACTCTGTATAACAACTCAATGTCAAAGGGTACTGCTAATGCCATTTTACCATCTCAAACATAACTTGCTTTTAGCAGACAATCAATGTAATAACTACTGTTAGAACCCTTTTTGATACTGTACTCTACCTAACAGAGACTCGCATACAAAGAAACTGAGTCACAGAGTCAGAGTGTAAGGAATGCGTCACAACATGTGTCGTCCTCAAATGTTTTAAGATACAGTATCCAGAAAAACAAACATATTGTTATATTTTGAGCCAGTACAGCAGTATTTCAAAAGCTGAAAATTCACTAACCATGTTCTGTTTCACTTACGCTTGTATATTGATCTATGTTTCTTTGCTACAACTTGTGTATATTTTTCAATGTCTGCATCTGTGTACAAGTGTCATACTGTGCCACAGGCTGTGAGTTTGGTTTATTTCAGGCAGCAGGAAACAGTGTAGGAGCCCAATCAGTCTATAGAACTATAATTATCATGTCAGAGCCTCCCTGCTACCACAGCACTGTGGAGGAGGGATACCACAACTACAGTACAAAGACGATTTCAGCTAGAGGGTGTTCATGCATGTGCGCCATGTCAAACCTCAGCATATCTCAACACTGGATGTGCAATAACCAGTTGGTGCTTGAAGCTGTGAACATGTCAGATTGTTTGCATGTTTATATATAAGCCTGGTAAATCTCTACCCGCTTCCATTTGTGTCTGAAGTGAAGCTAGGTCAACTGAATTCATATGCTGCTTTCAAATGATATTTTGCTTGCTTTGCAAGTACTGCATGTAGCTCTAAGTGAATGGCAATCTGGTGAAGCCTGTAAGTTTGTTTAGGTAGGCATGTTGAGGGCATATTCTACTTCCTGCAACATATATATATATACTGTGCAACCTTTGCAGCAGAAGTGTATTAAAGCCATGTTGCTCTGCCTAGTGCTACACTGTTCTGCTCTGCTATAAGTGCTGCAATCACTTGTGCTTTCAAGTGTCACTATAGTTCTGCTGTTCATACAACACCCACCTTTATGATGGGTTTAAAGTTGTGTGACGTGTTGTCCAGCCATGGAAAAGATAACTGTTTATAGTTGTTCTGAGCAGCCAAACCCAAATGAGAAGTGAAAAGCAGGTCATTACAGAGAAGAGCAAAACATTATGTTTAAATAGGGAGATAAGGGCACATTTTCAGAAGTCTCTGGTGGAAGGCATTTATAATTTTCACTTGGATGATCACATAAAAAAGTGACTGGTTTAGAGCCAAGCGCCCAAGCAGTCATCCATTAGCAATACAATACCGAGACAAGACCAAGTAAAAATGCAGTCGAGTTTGTGACAAGCCAAGACCTTCTTGAGACCAAGACCGATCTCAAGTACTACAACACTATGTGTAATGGGGAATGATTGCCTGTCTTCTGATCCTGTAGATTCATTACATGCAAACAGAGGATTTTTGCATGAATGTCAGAATGGTTTTTAACATTTTACCCATACTGTATGTAATAGCTATGTGCAGTATACAGTATGTGCCTGTTATATGACAGACTGTGCTGCTCTTACTCACCATACCCTGGGCAGCGATGAGTGCAGCCAGAGTGCTTCTCCCTGAGGTGCCAGGGGTACAGAGTGAAAGGCGGACCTCCTGTCCTCCCACCAGTGTTCGGTCCATCTCGATCAGCACAGCCTCGGCCTGCTCTGCGCTCTCATATTCCACCACACCAAAGCCCCGGACTGGACTGCCCTCATCTTGAGCAAGCTAAAAGATATGAAATTAATCTGCATTAAATAAGAACAACTGCCATTTTAGTAAAGGCTAGAGCTTTCAGAAGTATTTTATAATGTGGATTATTGGCAATTTAAATGTGAAATTCTGAACAGTACAAATCACGTGACAATTCACCAGTGTACCAAAGAAAACATGATGAAATATTGATTCAATATTGGTGAACAAAGAAAAGTAACATCTCACAAAAAAAAAAAAAAAAAATTTACTATACGATATACTTTGACAGTACAGTGTCAGTAGCAAAATTTGCTATTGTCTTATTTTGGCCTGAGGTGGAAGGACTGTAAGGACTGGAAAGTGAGCTTTAAAAGTCGCACATCTTAGGACACAAAATAATTGTAATAATTCAAGTAATGCTCACTTGTATTCAATTCAGCATGTAAAGCAAATGGAATATGTCACTGCTATGAGGCTTTGAGACCATCAACAAGTCCAAAGCTGCTAAGCTAAATGCTGATCCACCCAATGTGTCATGAGACTTTTAAGCTAACTACTATGTTGGTTCACATGAACACCTCCTAGGGCTTAGACAATTCAACAAGAACCTATTTACATGTACCTTTAGGTGCTTGTGTGTTTTGTTCTTAATACTTGGTTTTAGGGTTAAGTGTTGGGATTAAGTTAAGGTCAGGGTAAGGCATTTTAGTTGTGATGGTTAAGCGCAGGGTAAGGAACCTAAGGAATGCATTATGTCAATAAATGTCCTGATAACATGAGTGTGTGTAAGAGAGTGACAGAAACTGAGATTACTATGTTGTTGTGGAGGTAAAAGAACTTGTCTCAGCTCCTTTTGGCAAAAAGGACATCCATCCATCCATCCATTTTTCTTCCGCTTATCCGGGACTGGGTCGCGGGGGCAGCAGTCTAAGCAGAGATGCCCAGACTTCCCTCTCTCCAGACACTTCCTCCAGCTCCTCCGGGGGAATGCCGCGGCGTTCCCAGGCCAGCCGAGAGACATAGTCCCTCCAGCGTGTCCTGGGTCTTCCCCGGGGTCTCCTCCCGG